TTCTCCTGTCACCTGGATGTGGCAGTACACCAGTGAGTCCTGGACACCGAGAGAGCCCGCATGCATTGCTCTCAGAGGAGAGGCCAGGTCCCAGCTAGGACCTTTGGCTTGGCTCTCGCTGGAAGAAGTCTCCCTCTCTTGGGCCTCTTCCCTGGATCAGGGTGGAGGCCAGGCCTCCTCTGGCCCCCTTCTCTCATTCTCCAGGAGAAGGTTGAACCCCTTCTCCTCCTGTGAGAATCCAGCCTCCGGGACTTTTGCCTTTCTCCAAGTCAGGAGCCCGGCCTCCCTGCCTGATCTGAGCCTTCAAACTGTCTGTGAAAGCTGTCTAATCGCTGTTCTTGGGGAGCCTCTTGCACACTGTGGGCCTCCAAGGGCACGGGTGGTGTTTTCTATCTCCAGCTGCTTCGTGGCATTTCCGGCACACCAGAGATCTCAATATCTGTGGCTGAGTTAATGAACGACAGTGGGTGCCCGGTAAACGTTGATGGAGCTGACCTGAGCCCTGATTCACCATATGGCTAGAAGGCCATTGCTCTGGGAGGGACCAGGGGGCTCGGAGATGTTCTCACAGGGTGCTTGCACACAGGGTCGATTAAAACGGGCACGTCCTTTGTAGCCGCAGGGACGAAGGCTGAGGGAGCATCCACAGCGTGTGGAATTGGAAGAGACCTTGGGGATCGTTCAGAGCTGCCCTCAATTCGTAGAGGAGGTGAGATGGAGAAAGGGATGCAGGTGATGGATGACAAATCTGGGTGAGGTCTCGGATGGGTTCCGACTTAAACAGACATGTTCAGTGTCGATGCCATCCTGAGGGCTGTGGAGGGTGAACACTGATTAAAAACAAAACAAAGCCTCCATCTGTGTGAGGGGAGGAGGTGGGAGGAGCAGTCATGATGGATGAGTATGACATGCTTCCCTCTGGAGCGCAGAGCCCATCTGCCAGCCCGCCCCACCTCCCTGAGGGCGAAACAGGCTTCTAGGCTCTTCTCAAACCAGCACTGTGGAAGCCTCCTCTCCTGACTGTACCCTAATCTCTCCTCAGCTCAATGCTACAGAGAGCAGGGCTGGGCTGGGGCCTAGGCCACCTGTCTATGAAATGAGTGGGTGGGCTCTTAGCTTCTATGCCATGCAGACAGTCTAACATAGACTGTGGCATGAAAGACTACACTGGCCTTTGCTTTGTTTTTTAAAGAATTATTTAATTTTACTGATTATTATTCTTCAGTTTGACCAGAGAGAGACAGAGACAGAAAGAGGGGTAGTGAGAAAGCAAACCGTTAGGTCTGGGACTCAATCCGTGGTTGGCCATGTAGGAGTCCAGGTCCTTAACCACCACCCTACCTACTGGCCTCCCTGCACTGGACTTTTTTGCACCTTAACTCTTTTGGTTCTAAATCAGTAGTTCTCAAACTTTGGAGTGAACAAAATGACCTAGAAGTCTTGTAAAATAAAAACCAAAAACATGAATGACTGGGACCCTCATGGGTATGCGGCAAATGTTTAACCATTGGCTGGGGGAGGGTAGGGCAGAATGGATTTGCAGCTCTTGCCAATTTCCGTGGTGTAAATACTTCCAGCATGGCCAGTTTCAGGCTTCTAGTATGAATCCCACTTGCAGGAGCTCTGATTCTGAAGATGGCACAGGGCCTGAGAAAGTGCATTTTGAACCAATTTCTAGGCGACACTGGGGAGCACTTTGAGAAACTCTGTTCTACTCTTACTCTTCACAGACTGGTCCTTTGGGGTGCTTTTGTTCCACCAGGACCTGTCGGGCACCCACTGAGCTCTGGCACTCAGCTTCATCTTTCCCTGTCCTGTTTCCCTGTCCTGAAATGGCCAAACCAGCAAAGGTCCCCAGACTCAGCAGAGAGCTGCAATATGAGAAGACACCCCCAGAGTGTCTGTTTGAGGACTAACCAAGAGACTAAAGCCCTTCTCAGACTCCCTGGCATGTGGGACACTGTATTTTACACCACATTCCCAGTGGCCTAGGAGCTTAGGGACAACTTTTTTTTTTTTTTTAAGAATTATTGTATTTTTAACTTTATTTTATTTATTTATTTTTAATTTGATCAGAGAGAGATAGAGTGAGAGAGAGAGAGAGAGAAGGAAAGTGAGAAAGTAAGACGCTAGGTCCAGGACTTGAACTGTGGTCGGCCATGTGGGAGTCCAGCACCCTTAACCACCAAGCCACCTGCCAGTCCCAGAACAATGTTTTACTAGCCCAGCTCAGGTTCTCTTTCTCTAGGTTCTCAGAGCAATCGGTGGCGTTTCTTTCTCCTGTCACCTGGATGTGGCAGGACACCAGTGAGTCCTGGACACCGAGAGAGCCCGCATGCATTGCTCTCAGAGGAGAGGCCAGGTCCCAGCTAGGACCTTTGGCTTGGCTCTCGCTGGAAGAAGTCTCCCTCTCTTGGGCCTCTTCCCTGGATCAGGGTGGAGGCCAGGCCTCCTCTGGCCCCCTTCTCTCATTCTCCAGGAGAAGGTTGAACCCCTTCTCCTCCTGTGAGAATCCAGCCTCCGGGACTTTTGCCTTTCTCCAAGTCAGGAGCCCGGCCTCCCTGCCTGATCTGAGCCTTCAAACTGTCTGTGAAAGCTGTCTAATCGCTGTTCTTGGGGAGCCTCTTGCACACTGTGGGCCTCCAAGGGCACGGGTGGTGTTTTCTATCTCCAGCTGCTTCGTGGCATTTCCGGCACACCAGAGATCTCAATATCTGTGGCTGAGTTAATGAACGACAGTGGGTGCCCGGTAAACGTTGATGGAGCTGACCTGAGCCCTGATTCACCATATGGCTAGAAGGCCATTGCTCTGGGAGGGACCAGGGGGCTCGGAGATGTTCTCACAGGGTGCTTGCACACAGGGTCGATTAAAACGGGCACGTCCTTTGTAGCCGCAGGGACGAAGGCTGAGGGAGCATCCACAGCGTGTGGAATTGGAAGAGACCTTGGGGATCGTTCAGAGCTGCCCTCAATTCGTAGAGGAGGTGAGATGGAGAAAGGGATGCAGGTGATGGATGACAAATCTGGGTGAGGTCTCGGATGGGTTCCGACTTAAACAGACATGTTCAGTGTCGATGCCATCCTGAGGGCTGTGGAGGGTGAACACTGATTAAAAACAAAACAAAGCCTCCATCTGTGTGAGGGGAGGAGGTGGGAGGAGCAGTCATGATGGATGAGTATGACATGCTTCCCTCTGGAGCGCAGAGCCCATCTGCCAGCCCGCCCCACCTCCCTGAGGGCGAAACAGGCTTCTAGGCTCTTCTCAAACCAGCACTGTGGAAGCCTCCTCTCCTGACTGTACCCTAATCTCTCCTCAGCTCAATGCTACAGAGAGCAGGGCTGGGCTGGGGCCTAGGCCACCTGTCTATGAAATGAGTGGGTGGGCTCTTAGCTTCTATGCCATGCAGACAGTCTAACATAGACTGTGGCATGAAAGACTACACTGGCCTTTGCTTTGTTTTTTAAAGAATTATTTAATTTTACTGATTATTATTCTTCAGTTTGACCAGAGAGAGACAGAGACAGAAAGAGGGGTAGTGAGAAAGCAAACCGTTAGGTCTGGGACTCAATCCGTGGTTGGGGATGAGTATGACATGCTTCCCTCTGGAGCGCAGAGCCCATCTGCCAGCCCGCCCCACCTCCCTGAGGGCGAAACAGGCTTCTAGGCTCTTCTCAAACCAGCACTGTGGAAGCCTCCTCTCCTGACTGTACCCTAATCTCTCCTCAGCTCAATGCTACAGAGAGCAGGGCTGGGCTGGGGCCTAGGCCACCTGTCTATGAAATGAGTGGGTGGGCTCTTAGCTTCTATGCCATGCAGACAGTCTAACATAGACTGTGGCATGAAAGACTACACTGGCCTTTGCTTTGTTTTTTAAAGAATTATTTAATTTTACTGATTATTATTCTTCAGTTTGACCAGAGAGAGACAGAGACAGAAAGAGGGGTAGTGAGAAAGCAAACCGTTAGGTCTGGGACTCAATCCGTGGTTGGCCATGTAGGAGTCCAGGTCCTTAACCACCACCCTACCTACTGGCCTCCCTGCACTGGACTTTTTTGCACCTTAACTCTTTTGGTTCTAAATCAGTAGTTCTCAAACTTTGGAGTGAACAAAATGACCTAGAAGTCTTGTAAAATAAAAACCAAAAACATGAATGACTGGGACCCTCATGGGTATGCGGCAAATGTTTAACCATTGGCTGGGGGAGTGTAGGGCAGAATGGATTTGCAGCTCTTGCCAATTTCCGTGGTGTAAATACTTCCAGCATGGCCAGTTTCAGGCTTCTAGTATGAATCCCACTTGCAGGAGCTCTGATTCTGAAGATGGCACAGGGCCTGAGAAAGTGCATTTTGAACCAATTTCTAGGCGACACTGGGGAGCACTTTGAGAAACTCTGTTCTACTCTTACTCTTCACAGACTGGTCCTTTGGGGTGCTTTTGTTCCACCAGGACCTGTCGGGCACCCACTGAGCTCTGGCACTCAGCTTCATCTTTCCCTGTCCTGTTTCCCTGTCCTGAAATGGCCAAACCAGCAAAGGTCCCCAGACTCAGCAGAGAGCTGCAATATGAGAAGACACCCCCAGGGGGCAGGATGGAGCCATTCCCTTGTAAGCACTCGCAGGAGCCGCTGGTGCTCTCCAGACCTTAGACTTGGGAGGGTCTTGAGGAGAAAGATGGCCAGCACTTCTTCCAGCATGAATCCTGAAGCAAGCTCCCTGACACATCACACGGTTTTGAGCCTCTGCTGCACACCCTAGCGACGGGGATCTCCCCACGCGACAGTGGCTCTCACTGCTACTCTGTCGGCCTTAATCACACTGAGAGCTGAGGGTGGCCTTCTGGCAAATCCCCCTACTCCTCACATCCTGGTCTGAGCCCTGTCCACATGTAGACTAAAGGGAGGCTGTGTAGACAGTGGAAAAAGCCTGGGCTCTTGAGTCAGTGTTACGTGGGTTCACCCAGTAGGATCCAAGGGGGATTCTGCCACCTGACAGCTATGTTCTTTTGCCATGTTTTCCAGCGTCTCCCTCTTGCTTCACTTCCCAAAGGAGGTGATACCGCTTGCTTCATTGGACAGTGGAGGTGAAAACACTCGTGTGAACCTCCTTGAACCCAGCAGTGCTCAGACGTCAACCCCTCCTCCCACGCCCCTCCTCCCTCCCTAACGTGGTTTGTGGCTCAGGGATTGCAGTTGGAGGGCCCAGACAGTGGGTCTCCTTTGCAAGATGGGCCCTGGGGCAGACCCACACAGCTCCCTACCCCCAGCTCTGCATAACTCACAGAGCTAAGGCTAGTCTGTGGGTCAGAGGGTCGGGCTGGGGTACTGGGAGCTCACAAGGCTACAGCAATCAATTTGCCACACACCAGGGAGTGGCTCTGGGGGGGAAATTTTAACTCCTAACAGTGCCCTACTCCCCACCCCCGTTCACTGGAATCTCTTCCAAGTAAAAATAAAAAAATAACATTCTTTGAAATGGATAAGGGACAAGATCTCAGTCTTATATAAGTATACGAAAATGCATTTTTAGAAAACCTCTTTTACAGGTCTGTAACTTACCATAAGCAGGAAACAGGTAGCTACTAAGACAACACAGCTGCAAAACAAGGTCCCTAATGCTGTTTCTGGCCAGAATGTGGCCCCATGGCCCCTCCTCTATAGACTTTCTCTGGGGTGGGACTGGGGGAGCTGGATGGAATCCTTCCCAGGCTAGGGAGGGAGGGAGAAGACCCCAGCTCAGGCTCTTATGGTGACCCCAGAAGTGATGCCCCCTGCCCCCACTGCCCCACCTGCCCTCAGTGTGGCCTGGCTGCAAACACTGCAGGGGCTTCTTCTTTTGGGTGGTCAGTGTGGGACAAGTGGGAGGAGCTGCCTGGGAAGTGAAAGCCAGGTGGAGGTGGAGAAGGGTAGACTCATGGGCAGGTGGGTCCTTTATCTGGAAGTGGAAGTGTGAGGCCCTTTGTGTGGAGAGTAGCACTGCCCTGAGGGTCAGGAGGTCTGAGTGGAAGACCTGGCTCTGCCCTGAACCTATGTGTGTCCCTGGACGAAAGCCCTCTCCAGGCCTTAGTTTCCCCCTGGCTGTAAAGAGAAGGAGCCAGGAGCTAAGCCCATGTCCCTCATCAACTTCCCTCGCATGGTCTGCCCAGGTCACCAGCACAGACAGCACTGCTCACAGGAGGCTGTAGGCCCGCAGAGGGCAGGTAGCCTAGGTAGGCTTAGGACTCCCAGGCAATTAGCCAGCAGGAAGAAGGCCATGGGCACAGATGAGTCCATAGACTGGCTACAACAGAGCGGCAACTGGGCACCAGAATCCTGTCAATAATTCATCCCTTTCCCCTGGGAGCCGGTGTCAAGTGTCCGAGGCTGGGCTAGGCCTCCCCTGCTCTCCTGGTTCCTGAATTATTCAGGGGCCCCTGGCATTTTCTGCAACCAGGAGGCTGGTAGCTGGGCCGGCCCACCATCACTCAAAGTCCTGGATAGGCAGAGCCTGACCCACAAGATACCCGAACCCACATCTCATCCTTGTGGGTTAGCCCAAGGTTCCTGGAAGGAGGCTCTTGTTCCAGACCTGGGGGCCTCCTGGACCCTGACCGGGAAGCTTCCTTCCTTCACACCATGTATCCACTTCCTGCGGTCCCCAGAACACCGGGTGAGGGACGACTTTTCAAGATGCCCTCTGTTTCTAGGATGAACCATCCTCTCTGAGACGGGCACCGATGCCCATGCTCATGGGTTCTTTTTCTCACGCCAACTTCCTTTACCTCAGTTCTCCCAAATGCAGTGGTTGTGTGATTCTGGCTCTCACCCCTGAGGGCCCTGAACTCTACAGAGAAGGCCCACTGTGACTCTTGCTCCCAGAACAGGCAGTAATCCTGCTGCCCTTAGAGGTAAATACCAGGGCATCTGTCCCCTAACGGGGTCTGAGGGAGACTTAAAAAAGGGACAGCAGGGACCAGCAGATGGCGTAGCGATCTCATCGCTGGTCTCTCACATGGCTGACTGCAATTCAAGGCCTGGACCTAGTGGCTTCAAAATCACGCTGGGCAAGTGTGTGTGATGTCCAAGATCTGGGAGGACAGTGGAGGAGAAGGGACTGTGGTGTGGCCATCCCCCCAGGGTGATTTCTCACTATCCTCTGGTGAGCTAACACACTCTAAGGCTAAAACCTCTAAAAGAAGAGGAGAAAAGGAAAGAAAAGAAAAAAAGAAAAGAAAAGAAAAAAAGAAAAGAAAAGAAAAAAGAAAAGGACAGGAAAGAAAAAAGAAAAGGACAGGAAATTTTGACAGAGAGAGGGACCGCAGGGGTGAACAGGAGGATGAGGTGTTCTTGGCTGACAATGGTTGGGGGACTCAAGACAAAAGAGAGTCCCTGATGGGGATCAAAGATCAGCCAAGACCTCTTTGGTCTTTGAAGATCAATGCAGGGCAGGCTGCGTGTGCAGAGCTTCCTTTAAACCCAAAGAGAGGGTGGCCCAAGAAGCAGGACGGCCCCAGCCCCTCCAGGCCCCACCTCCCCTGTCCCACCCTCATACTTACTTGTTGCTGAAGACTTTGCTGTAGTTGAAGATCTGAATCTCGAGCATCTCATTTTTGTCAATGTTGCTGGCCACGGGCCATCGGAATGTCTGGGGAGAGAGGGACGACCATGGTTTCAGGTGGAAATAATGTAGGGGTTATGGGGAGAGAGGGGACTCTTCGATGGGGTCTCCAACAGCCAGGTGGCTTCTCACACACCCGGTGTGAACAAAGCATTCATACCCCAAATCTCATTTCATTCTGACAAGCGCCTATGGACGGGGCTGTGTGGTTGCCGACTCCTCTTTCGATAGCGCTTCAAGAGGTTTAGTGGCCTGCTCAAGGCCATCTGGTAAATGGAAGAACCTAGACCTAACCAAGACTCTGACTCCCAAAGCAGTGCTCCTTCCACAGCCTCTCAGCTGTCCCCCAACTTCCGGGGGCTCTGGAGTGGGTGGAGCGACCAGGGAGGTGGTTGGGCTCAGGCCCTCAGGGGCCACAGTGACGATGTGGACCATGAGCCTGAGTTTTGGTTGTGCTGAGCAGGACGGTGAGCTGCCAGCTCTCTAACATCAGAATCCTTCGGACCAGTCTCAGAACACCCCATTCAGGCCAGACCACCCCACTCTCTGGCAACACTAGCTTTGGGGACAGGTTTCAGCTGTGTGGCATTATTAGGGTCAAGCCACAGCCTGGCCCCAAGTCACAGTTTCCCAACTCACTCTTAACACGTCTACCTTGGCCTCTTCCCTGAATTGGTAGAAATGATAAATAGGAGCTAATGGGACCAGCAGTTAGTGTAATGGCTATGTCGCTGGACTCCCACGTAGTCGACCGTGGTTCACGTCCTGGACCCAGTGGCTTAAAACTCACGCCAGGTGCGTGTGCGTGCGTGCCCAAGATCCCAAGAGGAGAATGGAGGAGAAGGGATTGCGGTGTGGCCATCCCCCCTGGGGGGTGATTTCTCGCTTTCTGTCTGTCTGTCTGGCAAGTGCTCGTGCCCTATAGCGAAAACCTCAAAGAAAAAAAAAAAAAGAAAGAAATTATATATAGGAGCTTGAGCAGGGTTTCTCCTAATGCCCTGAGAAGTAGCAACAAAGGCCCCAAATCGAGGCTACAAGGTAGAGAGCTGTGGGTAGGCAGAGCTGGGCTCCTCTCTAAGGTTTCCTCGAGGCCCACCACCCCGGCTGTCACCAAAGCCCTCTTCTTTCCCAGGATTTCTAAGGTTCGGGGAGGAACGGGTAGGAAGGTTCTGACCCCGCTGCAGCGATTTCGTGGTGCTTCCCTGGGGGAATGGCTCCTAGAGTTTGGGCCTCTCCAAGGAGGCAGTGTGGCGGGCAAGTTCCCAGGGGCAAGGACAGCAGGAGTGCCACTGTGGGGTGAGGCCGGTGCACGGTTCACACTCTGTGGGCCGAATGTGATCAGGCCGACTTGATGGCCTCCTGTCCAGGGGCTGCCTGCCAGGGGAGGGGTCCTCTGCTCACGTGAGGGGGCGAGGCTGTAACCCAACGTCAGAAGCTGGGGTAGGTGTGCGGGGGCTCCTAGGTTGGGAGTGAGACCAGTTGGCAGGCCACAGAGCCCCCGGCGTGGTGTCTCATGCAAAGACCGGTGTTTGCAGGCCTGCTGTGCTCACAGCCCCGGAGCAGGAACCAGACAGCAGGGATGCTGCGCAGCAAGGACGCCCATGACCGTGGCAGAGACTGAGGATCAGATGCTTCCCCCATGCCGGCTAGATGGGAGAAGGATGTGGAGGCCCGAGGAGGAGACAGGGGAGGAGCCCCGTGTACACAGGCTGTCAGACCGAAGGAGGAATCCCTTCAGGACTGGATGGCTCTGGGTAACTGAAGATCGGAGAGCTCTGAGGTCTGCTCAAGAGCTGCAGAGCGCTATGGGGGGTGGGGTGGGAGCAGTGACTTTCTGGTTTTTTCCTAAGAGCTTTTTTTTTTTTTTTGGTTATAAGACACGTGTGCCCACCAGAGAGACAGAGAGAGAAAGCGAGAGATTACCCCCTTAGTGGGGAGGGCCATGTTATAATCCTTTCTCTTCCATTATCCTCTCAGGATTTTAGGCACACACGCACATGTGCTCAGTGTGTTTCAAGCCATTAGGTCCAGGACTCAAACCAGGGTCACCCATGTGGGAGTCCAGAGATGTAAGCTGCTGGCCCCGACTTTCTGTTTTTCAGTTTCATTTTCATACTGCACTAAATTCAGACTGGGTAGGCCAATAATAAGTAATAATAGTCATAATCATAAGAGCTGCTCTTTATAGAGAACTTTTCATTAGGCGGAGGGCTGGATGCTCTGTGTGCATTAACGCATTTAGTCTTTGCAATAGCCCAAGAGGCCGGTAATGTCTCTTTTGCTTTTTAGCCAGAGAAACCAGAGCTCAGGGCAGTAGCAGGACAGAGACTCTAAGTGGCTGAGCCGTGCTGGGAGGGGCCTCTGAGCTCCCCCTGCAAGACTGTCAGCTCTAAAATTGGACTTCCCTCTCTCCGCTGCGAAGGTTGGGGTGCACCGGGAGCAGCTCAGGGCCGGGTGCAGGCTCAGGAAAATGGTCTTCATGTCACCACCCTTCAGGACCGCTCAAGTCCCAGCAGGCCTGAGACATGAGCTTGTGAGGGAGAGAGGCCTAGGGGCGGGGTGGGGAGGAGGTGCTGAGAAGGTCCTGGGAGGGGAGGGCTTTGAAGGCCAAGTGGACCCAGGAGGGAGCAGCAGGTGAGGGGACTTGGGCACAGGCAGCCGGGCCATCTCAGGCCTCATTAAACAGCTTCTGCTTCTCCTGTCAGACGCCCTGGCAGCTCAGAGTGTGTGGTTTTCTTAGAGAAGTTGCTTTTATGGGGCTGCAGGGAAATAGAAGTTCAGGAAGGCCCAGCCTAGCAGCTGCGGTGCTGAGGGGAGAGGGCTGCAGGGTCCACCAAAGTCCGGTTTTCTTGGGAGGAAGGGGCAGGATGTTTGATCCACCTGAGCGCATGTGGCTGAATCTTGGTATGGGGAGGAGAGAAGGATTTGGAGGGACAGGAGATGACTAAGGAAAGGACAGCCTCGGAGGAGGTGGCATTGAACAGTGGCTTCATTAAGTGCCACTGCACAAGTCATTTCCAGGAAAATGATTGGTTGAGATCAAGAGACCCAGAAAGGGGAGCCGACGGGCCTCTGCTGGCTTGCTGAGGGGTGCAGCAGTTACCGTAATGGCGATGTCGCTGAGCTCCCGTGCTCACGCTGGATGCATGTGCGTGTGTGCCCAAAAATCCTGAGAGGAGAATGGAGAAGGGATTGCAGTGTGGCCATCTCCCCGGAGGGTGATTTCTCACTTTTCTGTTTTTCTGCCTCTCTCTCTTTCTCTGGCAAGTGCACATGCCCTATAGCCAAAATCTCTCTTTAAAAAAAAAAAAAAAAAGAGGGGACCAGCAGTTGGCGTAATGGCTATATTGCTGGACCTCTCTGCAGGTATCAGACTCGTGTTGGGGAACTTGTCATCAGAAATAGAACTGGGCTCCACGTCCCAAGCCTCTTGCTCCCTCTCCTTCCTACTGGTCTCAAGAAGTCCAGGGACAACATTGACTATTGCTCAGAGCAGAGCTGTCCAGTCCTGGTTTCCATCTCACTCACCGAGGTCTCCCTGCTCTTAGCCTGGGACCTGGCATACGGGAGGCGCGGAGCAAACCGGCCCTGAACGGCTGACTCAGCTGCAGCGCTGGCCCTCCTGGTGGTGTGAGCGTGGGCAGGTGAGCTCAGTTCTCTAAAGTGAGGCTGATGGTGACAGTACTTGCTTCTCGGAGTTCTTGGAGGCTGGCCAAGCACATGGCATGGAACCTGGCACAAGGTAAGTACTCAGTCAAGGTGGTGGTTTTACTCTATGGACGGCAACTGTGCTGTTGTCAGCTCCTGCAGCCAAGGCAAGGCCTGGCCTTCTTGGCGATGGCCACTGCAGGGCTGCAGGAAGCTTCTGTGACAGAGGGTGCCTTTCCAGCCTGGGTGGCACTAGCATGATTCTCTTCCTGTGGCCACACCAGCAGAGGGTGGTATCTTCTAGTTCTGGGATGTCTTACAGATCGGCAGCCTAGAGACTGGGCTGAAGAAACCCAACGTACTATCTTTCATTTTTTAGAGGCTTTTGCCTTAGGTTGCATGAGCTTGCCAAAGAGAGAGAGAGGGACAGACACAGTAAGAGGGGAAGTGAGAAATCACTCCCCCAAGGGGGACGACTACACCGCAATCTCTTCTCCTCCATTCCTCCTCCTCCTGGGATCTTGGGCATGCACACACACACCTGGCATGATTTTGAAGCCACCGGATCCAGGACTTGAACCAAAGTTGGCCATGTAGGAGTGCAGCGATGTAACTGCTACACCATCTGCTGTCCCCCAACACACTATCTTAAGATCCTGCTCCATCTCAGCCTCTGAACACCTCTGGGCCATGTGCCCAGCATTGCCAGGGAACTCAGGTAGCAGCTAAGCCAATCATTGCCTCCCCAGATGTCCTGAGCCAGAAAGCCCCATCTGCTGAGCACCTTCTCTGTGCCAGGCTCTGGGCATGGACCGTGCAGGGCATGGGGATGCAGGGGCATTTCCCAGCCCTGGGGACGCTGCTGGGTAGTTCTGGAGGCAGACACAGACCTGAAATATCAGCCTGTGGTAGAAGTAAAGTACTGAGCATTATGGGTGGGGCAGGGAGAGAGGACCTCTGTCGGGAGGGGTTCTCAGGAGCCCTGAGCACATCGAGTGTTGACCCAGTTCACCAGCACTAGGCTCAGCCCTGACCTGGCAGGTGCTGGCCAGGGCACAGGGCTCTGCATCCTACTGGCCGGCATCTAGGACTCTGCGGACAGCTTTCCCTGCTGTATGCTGGAGAATGACCTGGACTGTGTCCAGATTGCCCACTGACCGGGCCTGGAATTGTTCCAAATCAGCAAGCCCGTGCTCTTAAAGGAATAGCCCTCTAGGATTTGGGGGAGAATGGAGACGTGCTGCAAAGCATAGGGTGTAATGGGAAGAGACTGTCTTGGCAGCCTAAAGACCTGGGTTCAAGTTCGAGGTCCACGTATGCTCCAGCTAGCGGTCTTGTGCAACTCACGTGCTACCATTCAGCGGTCTTATCTGTATCTT